TCCCATCAGGTGGCATGGGACAGTCCCACTGGGTGGTACAAAACTGTCAATGGGACAATAAGGCATGTACCACTGGTGGTGCAGGCCAGTGGGAATGTGTTAAACTAAAATCAAAATGAATCAAAGATCTAAATATTAAAATGAAACAATCTGCTGGAAGACAAAATAGGTAAAACTCTTGAAGACGTATGTGTAGGCAAAGACTTCCTAAACAGAACCCTGGTTGTACAAGAAATAATACCAAGAATGGATTACATCAAATTAAAAAATTCTGGCAGCAAAGGAGACCACCAACAGAGAAGGGACAACCTACAGAATGGGAAAAAAAAAATTTTTTTTTTTAACTAAAGAGCTGACAATTTTATTTTTACATTTCACAATACAAATGAAACTGTCGCTCCTGCATTTTTGTTTATCTCACTTCTCCCTTTAAAACTAGTCTCTGTTTGATAGCAAGGGGGAGCAAGTCTTCCTTATGCTGTTAGAAAAGACCCACAGTCACAGCATCATGATCTCCTGGTGACCCAGAACAAATAATACAAAACTGACATAAAGAGGCCACCCCTCTGGCTTTATCTGTCTGGCTGAGTCATTCCTGGCCAAGTGACCATCATTGGGTGAGCAGGTGGGCACATCATTGGAGGCCCAGGCATCATTGGCATGTGGCCTCCCATGGGTGCCCTCATTCCAGGACCGGGTCCCACTGGCATCATCCTGGCCGGAGGGGGGCCCATCACTGGCATCACGGGAGGGCCTCCCATGTGGGGCGCTGGCATCGTGCCAGGGCGAGGAGGACCCGGGAGACTGGGTGGAGGTGGGGTCATCACCCCTGCTGGAGGAGGAGCGGAGAACGGAGTAGGAGGCATCTTTCCTTGTTGAAATGCCGCCGTTGTTTTTTGTCAGTCAGGCTCTGAGCCTGCTCTTCCATCCATTTCTGATAGTAGTCTTTCACATTCTCTTTGTTTCCTACCACTGTAGTGTGTGTTTCTCACAGACAGAGAGTCATGGGTGAGGTATGTATCGCAGGAGTCACAATAAAACCTACTCACAATTTGAAGGCATCATGCAAAACGTTCTGTCAAAACCCAGGCTTTTTTTGGTGCCCTCAGTATGTGCGGCCGACCTCCACACTCCCAAAGGGCAGCCCAGACCTCCTGACCACCCACCCACCCGCTCCCCAGATCCCAGCTTTTCCCTCCAGCTGTCAATAACTAGAACCGCTTTACGCCAGCCCTCGGGTCACCACTACTGCCTGCCACCTCCCCCAGATCTCAGGGCCCAACTCCGAATGAGAAATATTTTCCAGCTACTCCTCAGACAAAGGACTAATATCTAGAATATATAAAGAACCAAAAAAACCCCCCTTAGATCTCTGAAATTTAAAGACCCAATTAAAAAACCAAGCACCTAAAATGAATAGACATTTGTCAGATGAAGAAGTAAAAAATGGCCAATAAACACATGAAAAAATGTTCAACATTAGTGGCCATTCAATAAACGCAAATTCAAATAACACTGAGATTGTGACTTACTCCATCATCAAGAAATCAACCAATAACAAATGTGGGAGAGGCTGCAGGGTGGGGGAAAAGTACCCTTCTTCATTGTTGGTGGGTTTGTTATCATGTGGGTAAACTGATAACAACAACTATGGAAATCAGTATGGAGATTCCTCAAAAAACTAAAACAGAAATTCCACTTGTCCCAGCTATTCCCCTTCTAGGTATCTTTTTGAAAGAGTTAAAGACATCATATTACAATGATACATGCATAACCAAGTTTAAGGCTAAATCTTGGAAATGGTCTAAATGCCTATCAACAGATGAATGAGGAAAATGTGGTATTTATACACAATGGGGTACCACTGTGCCATAAAGAAGGATAAACTTGAATCATCTGTAGGAAAATGGGTGCACTTTGAGCCCGTAATATTAAGTGAAGTAAATCAGATATGTAAGCATAAATATTGCATGAGTTCTCTTAGATGAAGAATCAACATATAAATAAAGTGCAAAATAAAAGACAGACAATAGGAAAAAAAGAGAGGAAAAAAAGTTATTGTAATCTAGCACGGCCAGTGTGTCTAAAGTGTACCTTGATTTAGTATAATTGTCTTATGTGTTTTATATGTTTTTGGCCTGTTAGTCTGTTTATGATAATTAATTTGATAAGGATTTATAAAAGAATTAAATGAGTCTGATGCTGGCACCCTCCCCAAAAACCAAACTAAACAAAAATAAAATAAAAATGAGGTGGAGGGGAAGGGGGAGAAAAGAATTGAGATGTGTTACGTACATGTACCAACACCCCACAAAGAATATAATCATTATGTACTGTAAACATGTGCTAATAAAAAATAAAAATTGCAAAAATGTGAGGGGAAGTGTTTTGAGGGTGATTAATGTCAATTTGTCTTTTACTGTAATAATTTTTATTACACATATTTCATTCATACCTGGTATCTTGATTTGTGGACTACAACTATAGATAGCCCAAGAGTCATGTATTTGAAGATCAGTGTGTCAATACATTTGATAATACTTCCTGAGGACATGTGGGGTAGGAGTTGATGGACAATTAAAATGTGTTACTTAAGAATAATGAGATACAGCTCAGTGGTGCTATGCCTGCCTGGCAAGCGCGAGGTCCTGAGTTCGATTCCCAGTATCAAAAAAAAAAAGAATGAGATGATAAATTTTATAAACATATTAAAATTAAATGGACTAAAATATGGAGAAGTGTCAGATAGTGGTGGGATATATAATGGGTACCCAATTCAACCCAGGATAGGGAGAAGATTCTGAGCTAAGTCCTTGAGAGAAGATAGTGTAAACAAAGGCTGAAAGGCCGTTAAATAAACATCATGGAGTTAGGGCATTTGGTTTTAGTATTGCTGGAGTATCACACTTATTTTTTATTTGTTTATTTTTTTGGAACCGGGGATCGAACTCAGGTCCTTGTGTTTGCAAGACAGGCAGCGTAACCACTGAGCTAAATCCCTGGCTCAGGAGTATCACATTTAAAGTGGGAGGCAAGGAGTAATGACAGAGGACAGGCAGGCCCATAGATTTGTAAATCAGTGATCGCCATGTGATTGAGGAGTGCCTTTCCTCATGAAAATCATGCTGTAATGTGCCACTGTTTCCAATGGAAATGAGATAATTTCCTCAGTTGGGTGAAGTAGAAGATACAGTTGAAAGTTCTGCCAAGGCTAAGAGAGAGGTCTTTACTTTTAAGCAAGACAGTAACATGGTTAGGTCTGCATTTTAGGTCATGAGCAGCTTTGTGGAGAACAGCTGGAGGGGAGCAGCTACAGAGCTAAGAATACCGGGTTGGAGGCTATTGTTGAGGCATTACCTATGGAGCCTTAACTAAGGCAGAGGAAATAGGGAAGCAGTGAAGTGGGACAGATTTGAAAAATGTCTCGTAGTGAAAGGGGCTAGATCTGGTGATTGGTGGATGTAAAGAATAAGGAAGAAAGGATGTCTCTTGGCTCTCTAGCTTCTGAGGTTGAGTAGATGGTGGTATCAGCAACTGAGATATAGAATTCCCAGGGATCCCCGGTGCCAAAAAAAAAAAAAAAAGAATTCCCAGGAAAGGTGAGATAGAAGTACAGGAAAGAAGTCTAGGCTGGGGACAATTTTAAGAGTTATATCAATATATAGGTGGCACTTGAAACAAGAAGGGTAGGTTGACATAGCACAAAGAATACCCTACCTGTTCCTTCACCTAATAGGGAGATCTCCAAAATTCTGCTGTGACTGGGTTACAGGGATGCCAAACTATTGATCTTCTCAAGCTTCTTTGCTCTTGGGGTAACTGGTGCCCCATAGCTGGCGGCCTCTGGCTACATGCAGCTTTCATTTACTCTTGTGTGCACATGTGCCACGGCCAGACACAAGTCAGGAGAACACTCCTTTGTGTTCTAAGGTGTGTACTACTGAACACTTGGTAGTTTCATTTATCCCAATGCATTACTAGTGTCCATTTTCTTCTCTGTGACTTCTATCCTCACTCCAAACTTACCGAGGGTAGGATCTGTGCTTTTCTCTCTGTGACATCTCCTAATCTCAGAACTCCTAGATAAACATTTACTGAATACATGAGTGGATAGGTGTACACAGTGAGATGAGGAGCAGCGTGAGACTAGAAAACTAGGAAATATCAATATTTAAAGGATTCAGGAATGAGGAAAGGACACAGAACTAGAAGGAAAATAGGAAAGACAGTATACGAGGCCAAAGAAGTAGAGGTGTTGAAGAGAGCTTGATTATTAGTATCAAATGCAGAGGGGAGGAGGCATAAAGTAAACGCATTTGGGTTTTTCTCTGTGGAGTACAAAAGTTGCTAAGAAGTCAGGGCACAGAAGTAGACAGGAAGCACAGAGTTGTGGTTAAAATTGTGTATTCTGGAGCAACTCTGCTTATAATCCTTGATCTGATACTTATCAGCTGTGTGCCTTTGGGCAAGTCACTTATGCTTTCTGTGCATACAGTATTTGTAAAATGACAAGGAATGGTAACAGTGGCTGTTCTCAAAGGACTGTTATAATGATTAAATGCATCAGTTCCTGTAGAGTATTTTCAGAGTGCAGTGGCTGGCACTTAAAGCTATTATTAATACTTTCAAGCTATTATTAATACTCTTCTTTTAGTTGCTGTAATAATGATACTTTCATCATCATGATTTCCTGAGTACACCATTCACGAATTCTGTGGGTTTACTATTGTAATTAGTTTGTTATTTTCATAATGAAACAGATGAATAGCTTAGAAATGATGCTAGGTATAGCTACATGGGTGAATAATAGCAGTTAATATTTAAATACATTTGATTATAGGGCAAGAATGTCATGACAGTTGACAAAAATGAGAAATTATTTTGTCCCATTTTAAAAACATGGATCGGATAAAAACTTTCTTGGTTTTAAGGACAAATATTGAAGTAGAAAATATTTTTCTCAGTGCTGTCTGGGAAGGCATTCAACAATGAGTACTCACGTGCTGTTTAATAGCAGCTGCATCAGCCATTGTCCAAGACTGCTTTTTCTTGAGTATTTGGTCAAGGATGAGGATGTCATCTGAAGAGCTCAAGGGAGGGTTCATAGGCTTTGTATGTGCTGCCTTTACAGATATTTTAAAAAGAAGGTTAGTAATACATTTTAGTTTAAATTATACAACAAAGACAAAGTCAAAAGAAGTATATTTTGTTTGTTTTTTGATACTGGGGATCGAACTCAGGATCTTGCACTTGTGAGGCAGGCAGCAGAACCACTGAGCTAAATCCCCAGCCCTAAAAGAAGTACATTTTATTAGAGAGGATTTGTATATGATTGATAAAGTTTTTTGATAAATCATTTGTTAGTTTAGTTGAGGAACTTGGTATAGGGCCATGTGCATAGGGCATTTAGTAAATCCTCTTTAATAATGATGAAACCTACTTGTAAAATAAATACAGACCAGATGGTTTATATGTGGAATGGGAGAGCAGAGAGGAGTGAGCTCTATCTGACCCAAGCTTTATAAGCTATCAGGAAGCAATGAAGAAGAAGGTCCCCTCATGGAGTACATATTATTTCTAAGCTTCTCATGGGAAACCAGTGTCGGTTTTCCCTTTCCTAGGCTGCTGAATAATGCTAGTGGAAATCACATAAATAAACACTGTTTTCTTTGAAAATGTATATTACATAATCTCACCCAGGCCAATACTGCTTGATATTTCTTTTCTTCATTAGCTGTCAATACTCTTATAGTGCTCGTTGTGGCTGCTAGAAAGCCAGACATTAGAAAGCCAAACTCCCTCAGCTGATGATCTTATCTCTTTAGTTTTAATTATTTTTTTTTGTTTTTTTGAGACAAAGTCTCAATATGTAATCCAGGCTAGCCTTGAACTTGCTATGCAGTCCAGGCTGACCTCAAATTTGCCCTCCTCCTGCCTCAGGCTCCTTAAGTGCTGGGATTACAGGCATGTGTCATCATATCCTGATATTCTTGTTTCTTTAAAGCTATCTAATACGAATTCTCTTAACTGTTGTTCCTACCTTATGATTTTTCCATCCTTTAATCTATTTTCTTCCATCCTTCCTTCCTTTCTCCTCTTTCTTTTTCCCTTTCTCCTTCCCTTCCCTTTTTTCTTTCCTGTTTTTCTTATTCCTTTTTTTCCTTTCTTCTCTTTTTCCTTCCTTCCTCTTTTTCTCCCTTCTTCCTCTGTCCCTCTTTTCCTCCTCTCTCTTCTCTTAACTCTTCTTTCTCTTTCCCTCTTCATCTCTCTACCCCCTCCCCCGTTTCATTTTTTGCAGTACTGGGTATTGAACCCAGGGTCTTCACACTGAGCTATATCCCAGCCTTTTTCTTTTAATTTTGTGGATCTTGCTAAATCACTAAGTTGCCCAGGATGGGGTCAAACTTGCAATCCTCCTGCTTCCTAGAGTGCTGGGATTACACAGGTGTATTACCATGCCTGGTTCTTTTGTTTTTTACTTCCAGTCTCAGGGACTCAATCCAGGAGCATTCTACTACTGCGCTACTTACCTCTCAGTTGTTTTTACTTTTTATTTTGAGACAGGTCTTGCTAAGTTGCCCAGGCTGGGTTTAAAGTTTCCATCCTTCTGCTTCATCCTCCTGAACAGGAGGTAACACAGATGTGCATTATCATGCCTGGCTTCTCCTTGAGAGTTTTTCCTGATTTCTACAGCTGAAGTCTCTGCTTATATTCTTTTCTTACTCCTTACTCCTTCCTGGAGTCTTTTTTTGTTTTATTTTGTTTGTTTGTTTTAGTGGTGGCACCAGGGAATGAACCCAGGGTCTTCCCACTGAATTACTCCACAGACCTTTTTTATTTTTATTTTGAGACAGAATCTCACTAAGTCACTAATTGGCTAGGCTGTGCATGAACTTGAAATTCTTCTGTCTCAGGTCCCCACCATGCCTGGCTTGAATATATTTTTTGGATTGATATATTGTTTGTAATATATAATATTTACAGATTTTTTGGTGAATTACATATGTATACAATCTTCATTATTTTGGATCTTTTCCCTTTCCCTGAATGCACTGTTCAATGTTTGTCATTTTATTTCACGTAGTACTTTACATGCTCATAGTGAGTTGTGTGTGGAGTGGGGCACTGGGAGTGAGAAGATAGACGGCTGGGAGAGTGGTTCATGTTGCTCCATTACTTTTATTCTGAAACTTGAAAGTTCCATTTAGTTGTAATTAAAATTTATATTACTTATATACTTAAAATTTATATTAGATTAGATATGGTATATTAGATTAGTTCTATTATACTATGTAGTATATCAGGTCTCACAATGTTGTATATTTATATACATCATATATATGTATCTATATCTAAGATACTATACATTTACATATATCCTACATATATCTTACATCTAAGATACTATTACGTGAATACATAATAGTATATAATTATAAATAAATATATCTTACATCTAGATACTATACATTTAGATATATTGTATAATCATAAATATAAATATATATTTTAGACCTGTATATTGGGGCTATATAATATTTGTAAGTGTACATATAATGGATGTGGTATGCTTAGATATAGATATGTACATATGTATACATATAGTATAGTAAATATGGGTAGTATATTATATGTAACATATTAGTTATGAATGTTATGGAAAAAGTCAGCAAAGGAGATAGGGTACTGAAGATTGTGACTTTATTTAAATACATATTTTACAAATAATTTACTGGGGTGAAAATTTATATAACATAAAATTAGCCATTGGGGCAGAGTGCAGTGGCACACACCTGTAATCCCAGCACTCAGGAGGGTGAGGCAGGAGGATTGCAATGAGTTTGAGGGCAGCCTGCTGGGCTACATAATAAGTTTAAGGCCAGTCTGGACTACATAGTAAGACCCTGTCTCAAAAAACCAAAACCAAGACCAGAACCAAAGCCAAACCCAACCCAACCCAACCAAACCCAACCCAACCAAACAAAATTAGTCATTTGAGCTAGGCATGGTGTTGCATGTCTGCAATACCAGAACTCTGGGAGGTTGAGGCAGAAGGGTTGCAAGTTTGAGCCCAGCCAGGGCAACTTAATGACTTAGCTAGACTCTGTCTCAAAATAAAAATAAAAAAGGCTGTGCTGGGGTTGTACTTCAGTGTGAAGGTCCTGGGTTCAATCCTTAGTACAACAAAACCAAGAAACAAAAAATGAAAACCTCCAACACCCTCCCCCAAACAAACAACAACAAACAAAACCAAAAAACCAAACCCCTAAAACCAAAACAAACAAGCAAAAAATTAGCCATTTGAAATGTTCAGTTTGGTGGCATGTAATACACTGACAATGTAGGAACTGTGATTTTAATAGGGTTGTTAGAGGGGCCTACTGAAGTGACATTCCAGTCAAGACCTGAAAGAGATGATGAGAGAACTATGCAGATATCTGGGGACAGCATGGGTAGGGGAATAGCAAAGCCAGGGTATGAGGATGAGAGTATGTCTGAGGTAGCAAAGGAATAATAAAGAGGCTTTGTAGGTGAAATGGAGTGTGCTGGAGGTGAGCAACAGAAGAAGAGGTAGATACAGAATGGGGGTCCAGATCATCAGTGCCCCACAGAGCTGTCCACAATGAGATGTTCTATATTTTTGTGCCATGTAATAAAGTAGCCATCTGCCACATAGGGCGATTGAGCACTTGAAATGTGGATAGTGTGACTGATGAACTATATTTATAATTTTGCTTAATTTAAATCTAAACAGTCACTACTAGCTGCCATTAATTGGAAGGCTCAGGTTTAGATTGTGTAGAATCTTGTAAGTTATTCTGAAGAGTTTGGGTTTCTTCCTCTGAATAATATGAAAATCTATGGGAGGATTTTGAGCTGATTTTAACAGCCACTTTGGCTACTGTGTTGAGAATAGAGTGAAGGGGACAAAAATAGAAGCCAAAAGACCATTTAGAAAGCTATTGGTGCTATCTCTGCTAAGATTATGGAGATAATCTAGTATATAGTATGTTCTTAATAAAATATTTGTATTACAATTTTCTTCCAACCAAAAGGGATTGAAGGCATAAATCAATGGTAGAGTATGTTCTTAGCATATAGTAAGCCCCGGATTTTATCCCCAGTACCAAACCAAACCGAACCAAAATACTGAGTCTTCTATGAGTCAGGCTCTATTTTAGGTGACAGAAGTTACTCAGTGAAAGAAATAAAGACCTTACATACATGAACTTTGTATTATTCTAGTTAGTGACTGACAGTATACAGATAAGCATCGTATGTCAGACTGGCTCAATTTTCAGACATAAATTTAAAGGAGGATATATGTTCACTTATTTTCATCTTGTCTGTTATTTGCCTGGGTGTAACTTCATTTGGAGAGATAAAAACAAAATTTGACGCGGAGGTCACTTGTGACAATGATACCCCTCTCTGGGACTCTTATACCCGATGCCTGTAGGGGCCTTCTGGTGATTTCATGGTGATGTGAGCTGCAGATGGACCTCTGGAACTCGGAGATGCCCCACAGGGTAGGCTGTCTCCATGTTAATCTCCTTTCCATTGCACAGGCTGGAGAGCCTGTGATAAACCTGAGGTAAGGTCAGAACTTCCTGAGAGAATATCTAGCAGTTTGGGCATACTCGCCTGAGAACTTAAAACTCATGATAACAAAATACATAGGGGTGAATGGATTAGGGGCAACAAAGCAAAGCCAGGCCAGGAGGTAGAGCTAGGACTGTTAAGTAGGGTTCTAGTCAAGGATAAGATGGCCACTTCATCACTGCACTGCTCCATGGATGTGGACCTTGTCTTCCCACCCTATAATGTCTGACCCAACCATAGTCTTGAGCTGGTTGAGATAGTCCAAACTGCAGCTCCTGGTCCCTGAGTCAATGGGGAGCAAAGAAGGTAGACCCGTGGCCTCTTACTGTTATTTTTATATTGCCTAACCCCAAACCTAGGACTGTCACTTTCAGTAAGTTTAGGTGTTTGTTGAAATTAAATGAAATATTTACAGCTGGGCTTAGATTTACAAACATGGCTATGGAAACTCATGTGAAATATGATTAAAAATATTTCATAAAAAGCATAGGATTAGTTCTCTTGAGGTGGTACTTTAAAAACCCAAGTATTAAATGTTAATGTGACATAATCTAAATCTCACCTGTGCTTTCCAGTCTCTTTTATGGAAAAAGTAGTCCTCAAAGAAATTCAGAGGCTCTTTTCTCCTTAGCATTTCTAATTTCTGTATGTCTTTGAAAGGTTTTCCCATCACCATCCCATCCACATTAGGAAATAATGGAGAGATGGGTATTTTTGAGTATGGGCTATCTGAAGGGTAATTACACCCTAAAAAGATAAAAAACAGAAATAGTATCACAAACAATGAAACTCTCATAAAAGACAAACTCTTGGTGCCCGTTTTGCTCTTCATCTATGCTTCTCCTCAGTAGCCATGCTCTTCTTCTTCACTCTCCTCTTCCCATTCCACATCCATCTGTAGACTCCGGGTTTCACCCTAATGTCTAAGGACTCAGGACAAGGGTATCTTTGCTTTCAAATGACATCTGTATGACAGAGATTAATAGTTACTCAAAAGAGGCTCAGGTCCTGCTCTTGGCCACAAGTATTTACTTCTGATGAGTCCTATACAAATAAATCCTTTAACCCAGCTAAGGAGGTGAAGGATCCCTATGATGAAAACTATTGATCTCTGAAGCAAGAGATTAAAGAGGATGTAAGATTTAATGCAATCTCTATTAAAATACCAACAACATTCTTCATTGAGCTAGAAAAAAACAACAATCCTAGTATTTACATGGGAACAGAAGAGACCCAGAATAGCCAAAACAATCCTGAGCAAAAAGAGCAAAGTGAGAGACACCATAATTCTGGATTTTAAGTTATACTATAAAACTAGAGTAAAAAACAAATCAAAAACCCAAACCCCATATCCAACATGGTATTCATACAAAAATAGATATACACAGTGGATCCTTGACTTAGGAACTCAATTCATTTGCAAGGGCTAGTTGTAACTCAAATTGGCTCCTCTACACAGCCTTCAGAGCCTCTCTCCTGTATAATTTTTTTTTTTTTTTTTTTT